AAAAAAAAAAAAAAAAAAAAATCCTTGTCCCACCCACCAGGCATAGACATGCGTGTGTACACATAAAAGACTTCTGGAGCCAATTCCATTTTTTGGAGTTTTTTTTTTCCATACTTGAGATTAAATCCAAGGCCTCACACATGCTAGACAGTAGCTCTACCACTAAGCTACATTTCCAACCCTTTGTATTTTCATTCTTTAAAAACAATTTTTTTTTGAGACAGGGTCTCACTATGTAGTCTAGGCTGGTCTTGAACTCCCTATGTATCCTAGCCTGGCCTCAAACTTGAGCAATTCCCCTGCCTCAGCCTGCCAGAGTGTGGGACTACAGATATACATCATCACACCAAGCCTCTTTTTTTTTTTTTTGGTATCAGGGATCGAACTCAGGACCTTGTGCTTGCAAGACAAGCGCAGCTGCCCCTGAGCTAAATCCCCAGCCCTACACCAAGCCTTTTTTAAAAAAAATTTATTTGAAACCATCCAGCTGTGTATCCAGGCTGTCCTCAAACTTGGGGTCCTCTTGCGCCAGCCTCCCAAGTACTTAGGATTACAGATGTGTACCGCAGTGCCTGAAAAGAAATGACGTGTTCCAAGTATTAGGGAAAGAAAATGTAAGCGCTCCAGGTTGGGGCGGCCAGTTTGCAGCCTGCCTTTCTTCTGCCACTGTGATCCAGATGTCCCTTCTCCCTCCAGATCTGTCTTCCAGGGTAGGTGGAATCCTAGCTTTCCAAATCCCTTCCACCTCAGTCATCTCAGCCTCTTGGCTGTGCGTTTTGTGAAAACTGTTGCTGCAGCTTCCTGAGGGTGGCAAGAAATGGGCCAGGAGAAGCAGACAAGCCCTTCCCCACTGGGTTGGAATCTGCTGTGGTCTCCTCCATTGCATGTGAGCTCCCGGAGGGCAGGGCTTGGGTTTGGTATTTGTTGGGAACAGGTTCCAGGCCCAGTCTAGAGTGAAATATTCACTGAATGGTATTTTCCACCTTTCTCTTGAAAAAGATGCTTCCTTCCACCCCTGACTCCCCAAGAGTCCGAAGAAAGAGTCATAAAAGTTTATTATATGAAAGAAAGAACATGGCTCTGTACATCTATTTACAGACAGACGGACTTATTTACAGTGGTGCGGTGCAGGTGGAGGCCTGGTGGCCTCCATGGCTCAAAATCAGGAAACCTCAACTGGAAGTGGGACAGCAGAAGCCGGTGGGAGGAACAGGGCTTCCTGTCCTTCCTGAGGGAGACTCGGTGAGCATGTGGCAGTGGGACAGAGCCCAGAGTCACGCAGGACCCTGGAGGTGCAAGGGAGATCCCAGAGTGGAACCCAGAACATTCTTGGGCTGATCACAGTGTCCCTGGGGTGCAATGGGGGAAGGTCTGTGCCTTCTGTCCCCAGAGCTGCCTGCCGCAGCAGGGGAAACAGTCCCTGGGGGTCACAGCTCGCTGGAGCGCACGGCCGGCTCTAGCTTGTGGGACAGGGCAGTGAGGACCTTGTCAAACTTCTCATAGCGCCGGGCCTGGCTGCTGCTGGCGCCCTGGCTGCCCCAGAGGAGGCGCATCTGAAACTCCGTGCTGAACACCTCCAGGAGCTCTGGGCGGGCCTGGAACCCTGCAAGACAGAGGCACAGGGTCAGGGGACCACCACCCAGCTGGAGCCCCCACACCCACCACTGCCCACTAGTAGGGACCCCGCCCCCCAAACCACAGGCTTTTCTGAACAAGACCATCCACATCACAATATAGACTTTTTTTTTTTTTTTTGTGGTGGTACCAGGGATCAAACTCAGGACCTTGGGCCTTCAAGGCAGGCGTGGTGCCACTGAGCTAAATCCCCAGCCCTAACATAGACTTTCTAGATGACTAAAAGTTTTGGGGTTTTGTCTTGTTTTGAGACACGGTCTCACTATATAGTTCAGACTGTCCTTTAACACATTATGTAGCCCAGGCTGGCCTCAAACTCAGGGTTATCCTCCTGCCTCAGCCTCCTGCATGCTGGGATTACAGGAGTGCACCACCATGTTGGCTTCCTCTGGGTAATTTTTGAAATCCTAATTTTCCCAGCTGCAGTTTCTAATTTGTCTCCAACAAAATTCTGTGACTAGGGCCAGGGATGTAACTCCGTGGTGCCCCATCTGCCTGGTCCTGAGTGCAAGGTCCTGATTTTGATCCCTGGTACCAAAATAAAACAAAACAAAATTTTGTGACTTAAATAATGCCGAAAGCAGTAAAAGAGAGATTGTCTGAGCCGCCTGCTCCCTACACCTTTCCAGAGAGGGAATTCCAGCCTCCTTGAAGACAGGCAGATCTGCCTCCAGCCCAGGTCTGTCACCTGCCCACTTCACAGAAGGGAACACTAAGGCTCAGCAAAGCAAAGCATGACACACTGCTGTGGCGCTGAGTCACCCCCATGTCCGCCCAGCCCACTAACAACTACTTGGTTACCTGAGAAGGAGGAGGAAGAGGAGTAGGGGAGACAGGGCGGAGAGACGAAAACTGCACATGAGGCCTCCAGGAATGAGGAGCGGCCTGGGCGGGGAGGCGCAGGCACGAGGGACCTGCTGGCCACCACTCACCCTGCAGCTTAACCTCCGCGTTGGTGTGGTAGAGACCCCCGTGGTGCGCCACCGTGCGGGCTGCCTCCAGGTGCGCCAGCACCACCTCCACGCCATGCTCCGTGCTGCCCCAGGGCTCCGGGCCCTCCGTGGGCGCCGTGTCGCACTCCAGCAGTGTGATGAGCGGCAGCACGTGGGGAAAGGTGGTGTTGCTCAGCGGCAGGCCTTCTGCGGGACGGCGGGCGCTCAGAGACCCCAGA